ATATATATATATATATATATATATATATATATATATATATATATATATATATATATAAGTAAGATGGCATGTTCTGATATCTTTCAGATTTATTAAAAAGAGATACCAGGGAAAATAAAGTCCGTTTATAGAAAACATCTATCTATTCAAGGAAGCAGCATCAAGTATCCAAATGAATATTCTATATCTTCAAATCTAAAGCTGTTTGTTTAAAACTAGGAACAGGCATTAGAAATTATCTTCTCGTATATCAAGTAGAATATAGAATCGTGCAAAAACATCAAGATCTCCATGTTTTTACACGTCGGAAATTTTTTACAAATTTTGTCTATATGTTTGTGCGTGCGTGTGTATGTGTGTGTGTGTGTTGACATGATAACTTTGAGTACCGTTTGAATTACATAGAAAAAACTTCATTTATAAAAATTATGTCCTGTTCTTAGGTATATTTAAACTATTGGACTATTTCCGCTGATCGATAGTTGTTCTTATTCATTTTCCGTTTCTAAAAACACGATAATATGCGACCTTATCACTTTGATGGATGAAATTTTAAACATAAGCTTAACGTTTCTGGTAACTTCAAGTGGAAATTTACAATATTTTCCTGTCAACGGGATGACCAAAGCACCACATTATTTGGGTAGTTGTAACTTTGTATATACTTAAGTTACTTTTGGAGTAATTTCCGATATACGCAATTGTACTTTACTCTGTTTCCGGTTTTTAAAATACCGTTAACTTGAGTACCGTTTTAGTATGTGCGGACACAATTTCTGACATAAATTAGATATTAAAAGCATGCTTCTGCCAAATTTTTTGCGATTAACGATAGCAGAAAATGTCATTTTACTCTATCACCGATTTTCTCTAAAACCTTCAGAATTGAATTTTACATTTCATTCTCATAAAGCAGCTTAAGTTAAGAATTTTATGACTCAAGGTCTCTGTTTTCTTTATGTAATAAAAGTTTTGTCTCAAACTTTTCTGCTCTTTCTAAACCTCGTTTCCACTGGAATTTTTTTTTTTTTTTTTTTTTTTTTTTTTTTTTTTTTTTTTTTTTTTTTTGTTATGCACATTTTTTTGTAAAACAATAAAACATTTCCCATTCAGGGGTGACATGAAAGAAACATTGATTACATTGAATTTTCACAGAACTAGTATGGGGTTATTGTGTATAGTTAATGGTTTTTCATTATATTTATAGTAAAATAATTTTTCAGCAAATATTTTAATATGAACATTTTAAACAAACCTTTACATACATGTTTTAATATTTGTGTTTTGTAATAAAATAAATAATAATACATATTTTATTTTATCATTAATATATGTCTCTATATTATTAATGAGTTTTTGATACAAAGTTGTAGATTCTCTCCCTTGATTGTTTTGAATAAAAAAATCGTCAGCTGCTAACACAAAATAACATTCCAGGTAAAACAATTTAAAATTGTTTTTCATGATTTCTTTACGTCTGAAGTTTTAAAATAATTATAAAATACATTATTTTATTGATTTTAGAATAATACTGGATTTTGTTATTGAATGGGGCGTGGAGGAGACGGAGAAAGGGGAGCAGTGTTTCTTCCAGACTTTTTTCTCCGGGGGGGGGGGGGGACTTACTAAAATTTCAGGGGGGGGGGGGCGGATACTGTTAAAAAAATATATTTCTATAAATATTTCCTTTACGTTCGGGGGGATGGGGGGGGGGGGGGCGGTAGACTTTCTTTGGGGGTGGGGCGGACTGTCGAGGTATGACTAACGTGGTATGACATACGTGGTATGACAGACGTGGTATGACTAACGTGGTATGACTGACGTGGTATGATAGATGTGAAATGACGTGGTATGACAGACGTGGTATGACTGTCGTGGTATGACAGACGTGGTATGACTGTCGTGGTATGACTGACGTGGTATGACAGATGTGGTATGACTGACGTGGCATGACAAATGTGTTATGACTAACGAGAAATGACAGAAGTGGTATGACTGACGTGGTATGACAGATGTGGTATGACAGATGTGTTATGACTGATGTGTTATGACTGTCGTAGTATGATAGATGTGGTATGACAGATGTGTTATGACAGATGTGGTATGACTGTCGTGGTATGATAGATGTGGTATGACTAACGTGTTATGACAGATGTGTTATGACAGATGTGGTATGACTGTCGTGGTATGATAGATGTGGTATGACTAACGTGTTATGACAGATGTGTTATGACTGTCGTGGTATGATAGATGTGGTATGACTAACGTGATATGACAGATGTGGTATGACTGGCGTGGTATGATAGATGTGGTATGACTGGCGTGGTATGATAGATGTGGTATGACAGATGTGGTATGATAGATGTGGTATGACTGGCGTGGTATGACAGATGTGGTATGACAGATGTGGTATGACTGTCGTGGTATGATAGATGTGGTATGACTGGCGTGGTATGACAGATGTGGTATGACAGACGTGGTATGACATACGTGGTATGACAGATGTGGTATGACAGATGTGGTATGACAGACGTGTTATGATAGACGTGGTATGACAGACGTGGTATGACAGACGTGGTATGACAGACGTGGTATGACAGATGTGGTATGACAGACGTGTTATGATAGACGTGGTATGACAGACGTGGTATGACAGACGTGGTATGACAGATGTGGTATGACAGATGTGGTATGACAGACGTGGTATGACAGACGTGGTATGACAGATGTGGTATGACAGACGTGGTATGACAGACGTGGTATGACAGACGTGGTATGACAGATGTGGTATGACAGATGTGGTATGACATACGTGGTATGACAGATGTGGTATGACAGACGTGGTATGACAGACACTATATGTCTGACGTGGTATGACTGGTATGACTGACCATGACTGACGTGGTATGATAGACATGGTATGCCTGGCACTGTGGGAGGGGGGTATGTCTAACACCTTTTACTGTAAACATTTCCACGCCTCCTAGTCCAAACCGCTTGGGCATCTTATAAAGATTATGATTTAAAAAAAAAAAGATGTGTTGACAAACTAACTTAAACTACTTAAGAAAACATATCCTGACCTGCTTCTCACAGAGTCCTTCACCAGCTAACTCCTTCAGTCATTGTTACTGACAGGATTACATCCCCTGTGAAAACCCCCATTGTATCAATATTTTCGATTCTTCTCCGCTTAATATCTTAATACCAAACATGCTTTCTGTGGAGTTGATACATGTAGAGGCGTAGCGACCATTCCCGGCGCCCGGGGACAAACTTGCGATTTGCACCCCCATCCCCGCCCTCATACTTTCGATTTGCACCCCCCCTCAAACTTTCGATTACTTTTTCCAACCCATTTAGGCACCCCCTAAGGTAGGCGCCCGGGGACATATGTCCCTCCCCCTGCCCCTCCCCCCCCCCGCCCCAGCGCTATGCCTCTGGATACATGTATGCCTCAAGTTGTCAAGAATATTTCCAATCCCACTCTTTGATAAGAAGTCAGTTCATATTTTAGTGCCGTCGTCCGTCTTCTTTGTTCTTAAGTTTGCTGGAAGAGATTCCCTCAAACACGATTAAGTAACGTGTCAACTTGTTATGCGCCATAATTGGCCGTTGACAACCAAGAACAAACTACAAGGCAGCAGTTGTTTGATTTTTTAGTTCTTTCTCCTAGTTGAGTTGCTGTCGAGCCTCGTCTGCCCGAGGGTTCGAACTCCAGGCTTCTCGGGTTAGCATCCATGAGCTTTACCGACTCGATCACGCCGACGTCATTGACTAATATAGGTATAATAAGTAAAGTACCATTACGAAGTTGCAGGGGAAGTAGAGTTCACCTGTTTCCGTAACCTCGGCATATGAATGGAGAGTGTGGTCATCATTATGCCCAGCTACCTTTACTATTCCTAACATCAGTCAAGTACTCATAGTGGTCCAATACATATAAGCTACTGGTGAAAACTACTGCAGAAAAAAATGCAAATAGTTCCATTACTTTGATAATAATATTACAAAACAATTACCTTGTTCAATGCTCCTACATAATAAATAGTATATTCGGCAGTTTGACTTTATTCCAATATTTAGTTTATTTTCTATATAATTAGTTTGTTTATTTGAAGACTTAATTAAACTACCTGCAACGAAACGGATGTTCTAGGTGAACTCATTGAGAAAAAAAAAATAGATTCGTACATTTAATAACATACAACGACTGTAATTAATCGATTGGCATATAATTATCCGCGAAAGTTCTGATACAGCCTGACGTAATCAATAATTAAAATTTGACACGAGATGTAATTAAAACAAGACGTGGCAGGACATTCCCCTCAAGGCGATAATTAATGAGGACTTAATTTTGTTAGGGAATTTTAGTCTGTAATTGTACTGTAATTAACATTAATTACTAGGAACTGGTGCTCAACACAACCGCAATTAGTTTTAATGAGTACGTTTTAGTTTATGTGAAGGCACTTTTATGTTAAAGGTGAACGAAGATTAATTATAACATTGACAATTTGATTGATATTACAAATATGAAGGGCTTGAAGATTTAATTTAAAACTTGTTTTGAATCTTTTTTTTTATTTCACTTTGAGTCTCGACAGGTTGCAAAGAACACATCCATTCGAATATCATTTTTGAGATTATCATTTTGTAATAGCGCCTTAGAAAGTTGTAAGATTTTGTCATTTCTGAAGGTAGTAAAAAACGCTAACTAACCAGAACACACATAGAGCAGATGGAGTATCATGGAATTGAATTTTGAATAGTTTTAAGCTTGGGATTGTCTTAGAAGGGATTTGCAATCTAATGCTTAAAGTCAAGTTGATAACTTTTATTGATTTTAATCACTGAAAATAAATAATTTTTGTTGGTGATCTTCAATCCATTTTATTTGTTTCACTTTTCATCACCGCCTGTTCAATTCTTAGTCGTTGTATTCAATAGGTGTAATAAATTTTCGTAGAATATTTTACAAAGCTCTAGCCTACATTATGAGCAACACTAGTGTGGCTACCAACTCGACCAGTGCACACCCCTACTCACCTCCAATGATAAGCGATGCCATCACCGTACAGATCATTACGCTTATTTCGATTATAGGCGGGTTCGCGTCTATTATTGGTACGGGCACAAACACGGTCAATATCGTCATATTTCTCAAACAGGGACTACAAGACAGCGTCAACATTAGCCTGTTTAGCCTGGCTATCTCGGATATACTTTCTCTCATTTCGTTTGGAATCCTGGCGCTGTGGGTGAGCCCGATTTACGTGTACTCCGAGTTGGACGTCATTTCCGGCGAGTTTGAGTACATCGTTGGGGGGATGTTTCACTCAACCATGACTAGAATTACTGGTTGGATCACGGCCTTCATTACTTTAGAAAGATGTCTATGCGTGGCCATCCCGCTTAAAGTCAAATCAATCCTTACCATTAAAAGAGTGGCTATCTGTATGGTTTCCGTGTTTCTCATCGTCTTCATCAGCTACATGCCCTTATTCTACACTAACCAAATCGTGTGGAAATTTTTCCCACTTTTCAACCGCACGATGCTTGGGATTACATTCACCCCAGATAGAGCTCTCATCGACTTCTTTGTTTTCTTATTCCACACCGTCATCTCCACATTCGGGTCTTTCATCGCCGTCCTCATCTGCACTATCACGCTCGTTATCGAACTTAAACAAAAAACAAAATGGCGAAAACAAGCTACCATGACCAGCAGCGTGAAACCTGGCGAGGCCAAAAGCATCTCCAGCAAAGAGATCAAAGTCATCCGTATGATCGTTCTCCTGTCCACCGCGTTCATCATCAGCTCCACGCCCACCATGGCGTTCACCATCTGGTCCATCGCTGACCAGAGCTTCACGGCGGTGGGCTACAACCGCAACATCTTCAACGTCTCCTTCTCCTTCATCTTCCTCATCGAGGCCCTCAACTCCAGCATCAGCATGCTGGTCTACTACACCATGAGCACCAAGTTCAAGGTCACGTGTCGCGAGATGCTCCCCTCGTGCCTGCTGAAGCCGGAGGGTGAGGCGAAGAAATGAGGGTCAACAACTGTCTTTTATTTTGAAGCTGTCAAATATGTATTTATTATATGGTGTCTTACGGAGACGAGACATTAAAGAACACTAAACAAGTCTGCCATCCAAACTTTAAGAGATTCTATTTGGTAAAATATTGAAATAATAAATTCAATTCATTTTCCTAAATATATTAAGTTTAAAAAATACTGGAGAAAGCGTATATTGTGTACATAAACGACAGAAGTTACTTATTTGGGGAGTTGAAATTGAAAGTAATAAATATTCCGTGTACTTGAAATCTTTCGAATGTATATGATTCAGTTTTTTATTTAATTTAAAACATTGCAAAGTTTTCGATGGAGTGATTATATTTAAAATCAATTTGAGTATTTATTCGAAGGCTTCTAAGTCTACACCTCAGAAACCTAGGATCATTGGAATCTTCAGTCTTTTAAACACTGAAAAAAATTCGAAATTATTTACTTATCCGAAATCGCAAAATCGCTCGTTTTATTTTTGTTATGTATTTTTTTTCTTGTTTTTTTTTCATGGAGATATGTTTTGTCCCAGAACCTAGATATGGATATTTGCGCTTGGGTTTCCAGTAATAAAAAAACGGAGATTTTCTAAAAATGGATGTTGCTCAATGCAAATGACACTCAAACCATATTCCATATCTCAAATCAAAGAAAGAAAAAAAACACATCGCAATTTCAATTTTTCAAAAATTGATTTTTTTTCTCTCCAAGAACTCGTTCAGGCTGTAGAAAATTAGCCGTAGATTGTAAATTATGTCACCTTCTAAAATCCACGTCAGTTCTTCCTTTTTTAGACACACTCCAATACCAGCCATGATAATCAATGCAGTTTTTCTTAACACTAATTGCTAATTGATGCATGGCGTTCTCAGAGTACGGATTTAGATTGAAGTGCATGTATAGTAAGTACAATCTTGATTGATTCATTTGCCCTATGTTAGAAAGTATGTGAACAAGATATGGCTAAAGAAGAAGAAATTTTGAGTTTTGTTACTCCATTAATGATTTATTTAGTTTTATCATTGTGTTTATAAATACATATCGATGTGAAGTAGGTCTGTGTTGCAGAAAAAACAATATTTAAATAGTGAAGCAACGTAGTGTGCCATGTATCGTCTTATTTAAAACATCGTTTTTCACTATATATAGTATATATTTTATTATATATATATATATATATATATATATATATATATATATATATATATATATATATATATATATATATATATATATATATATATATATATATATATATAAGTTCAACGATTTTTGTAGTGGTGGTAATTTTATTAATAGATGTAATATTATTATTTTTACGAGATCGTCCGTTTTTTATTTTGTCGTATAAGGAGAGTACATGAAATATTGTAATCCATATTTTTCTACAGTGGGCATTTAAAATGTAGAATAGGTCCTGCCAGGCTTTGGCTTTTAAGCTTTCTATGTGTAATAAATGCTTGTTACATGCCACCGCTGTTGTGTTCTATTAAACATTGACGCTTTGCTTTGTGTGTGTGTGTTTGTTTCACTGTTTACAGGAAGCGTTTTTTTTTTCCAAAGTGTATTAATTAATGTCTTTCTGTGGGCAGTATGTTGTACCATCTGTTGTAGTTTTCTGTTAGTTGATGAAAGTAGATGTATTATAACGACATAATTTTGTATGAAAAAAATGTATTAGTTTATTATTTGTCATGATATTATTGTCATGATAAGATTATATCCAATAACAACCTGGCTCCAGGTGCGGCACCTTGTGTGTCACCCCCCCCCTTTTTTTCCCTGTAAATTTTTCAGTTCGTATCACTCTTCGCCCCAGGTAAAAGCTTTAAAGTGTTCACATTTCATACTAACAATGTTTATATATAGTCGGTTATTAATACAGTTAGATGTAGCATTGTTTTCTCTATCGCTTGCACGTTTACGTCATGGTGTCACCCCTTCCCCCCCCCCCCCCCCCCCCCCACCACTGTCCGGATCGTCATTATGTACTTTAACCATTCATTCAGCTGGAAAAAAAAATATTTATTCTTTATATTTTGCAGCATTTTTGTTTTGGTATCACCCCCTTAATGGTCCGCACCCTCCGCCCCCGCCTAGCGACGCCTCTGCACAACACTACATACATAATTTATATTTTTTGAAGCCAGACAAACTATCTTAGAATTTACTTGGATACTAAACATTTATATATTTTTTTCCTGAAATATCTTGTTTATAAAACAAGTTAATAAAAAGTCTAGTGACAATTTAAGCGCAATGTCCTTATGTTAGTAACGAGATTTTAAAAAAAAATATGTAGGGGGTAATAGAAAATATCAACGGAAATAGTTTTATTTTAACTAGTAGGCCTAACCGATGCTCAGTTTAAAATATCATCCTAGGGCTACACGATGCTCTGTTTAAATAATTTTAAAAATTTTTTTGTGACCGAACGAAAGGATATTTTTGAAAACTTTCTTCGGCAATATTGTTCTAAATTATAGCAGGAATCGATTGGTAAATGTTTCAAGTCGCTAAGTGGTCTGGTTGCCGAGATATGGAGCAAAAACTGCATTAGTTCGAGGTTTTTTTTTTGCTTTTCCGGGAAATCCAGGAAGGAATTCCGGGAATTTTTTTGGCCTATGTTCATCTTCGGAACTTGCTTAACATATTTGCTTTGGAACTAGTCCTCGATATTGCTTCGTTGAGGAGGAGATACGACTTAAAGGCTGCGGACACACATCCATCCAGAAATGACGAGTTAATAATCGCAATCCCAGTATGGAAATTGCGCTAAAAATTAGAATGAGATATTTTGACGTAGAAATCTTACACTTAGATAATTTTCAAAAAGACTGTTAAAACCTTTTAAAAATTGTTTCAATTTTTGTTAATATGAAAAACACCTGCTTTATATCCGGTTGGGGGGCGGGGGTACTGGTAAAAGTATATATTTTCTAAATAAATTTAATCTCATTCAGGATGGGGGGGGGGGGGGGGTTAAACGAAGACATGCCTGGGAGAAACTCGGGAGAAGGGAATTTTCTGAAAATAGAATAGGATTAAAAAAAGATGAAGTCGAAAAATTATTCAATACATTTTATTTTTATGGTAGCATGAAGGGCCTTGTACAACCTACAGATACCTATTTTATTTTTAAGCAAAATGCAAATATTTCAACTTTGGCATGTGGGTAAAGCCCGATTACAATGCGATATGACATCGAATTTGAATTAATTTGATGGCTAATTAATTTTTAATTACATTAATTAAAGTTTTCCATATAAAGTACTATTTACCGTGCTATTATACTCACACTTTTCTTGTTAATTTGGTGCGCTTGTGTTTTTAGTCCGCAACTTTACTGTATTAAAAATTTTATATTACAGGAAAAATGCATCAATCGTTTATATTTATATATATTGAACTGCTATTGAAATAACTAAAACTAACAGCTAGGCTTACTTGGGTCGCTTCTTGAATTCCCGTAAAGGTATTCAATACATAATATAGTAAATAGAGGTAAGTTAAAGGTCACGTTCAAATTATATAACAAAAGATAATTGCGAGGTACAGCGATACAACTCGCGCTTGCTGACTAGAAAGTCACGAGTTAGACGTTCCTATAAAAATAAATATAAAAAAACCTTTATAATGAATAATTTTTAACTTTAGGGAAATAAGAAAAAAAACTTCCTTTCTATAATAAATGTGAGAGATCTTATGAGCGACAAAAGTTTTTATTATAGAAAACAAATTCGTCTTATTTTATTATATTCAGTGAATTTAATTGCTTTTTTGTATTTTCCAAGTATAAAAATAAGCTGAAAATAGGCCCATATAGTTAATTAATGCGGCAACTAGGACCAGAGGCGTAGCGAGGCGGGCGGGGGGGGGGGGGGGCGTGGGTGCGGACCGCACCGGGTGACACCATTTAGGGGGGTGACACCAAGGCAAAAAATAGCAAAATATATAGAGAAAAACTTGGGGGGGGGGGGGGTGCAAATCAAAAGTTTGAGGCGTGGGGTGCAAATCGAAAATTTGAAAGTTTGTCCCCGGGAAGGGTCGCTATGCCTCTGGGGTGTGTGACACCATTAAGTGCCGCAACGGGTGACACCCGACCTCGCTACGCCACTGACTAAGACTGCATTGTTTTAGCATGATTGCTTCTATTTTTAATGTTTTTCATTTAGTTTTTCAAATACTTTTTATTGTATTTTAACTCAGACAGTTTTGTTATCTATCTTTTGATTTAACCAACTATTCTTGCGACTTAGTTTTGCTTGAAAATGTTTTCTACTATATTGTCTTTTAACTTATTAAAAAGTCTTAATTAAATTGTGTAATATTGATTATTGTAATTAAATCATTTCTTAGCTTTATTTTTAAAATGTATACTATAGACATGTTTTGCTTTTTAATATTAGTTTTAGTTTTATGGTTTTATATTAGTAGTCCCTACCTCCCAAACATGCACAAATGTTCTATTTTACGAATAGTTTAAAATTATCGCAAACAAATCCAAAAACATTGTATTATTAACTAACAATTAATCCTGCATAAAATGTCTTTTTTTAATTTATTAAAAATTGTAAACATCTTGTTAAAATCTAAACTTAATGAAAGAAAATGAATGAAGTTTTGACACACATTGCTATGGAATAATATTACTAACGAAATAGTCAGGTTTATGGCTGGTGCAGTGGGGGTAGTGGTGGGGGGGGGGGGGGGGCTCCAACATGAATCTCGGCTTTCGGGTTTAAGTCAGTTGGCCGTACACTATCGGTGATTGGTTCTTGAATAAAATTTTAGAAATTAAAAAAAAAACTAGAAATACTGCTGACCTCTAAGTCTTTGTCGAAGTTATTGAAAAACAATGGATCGTTTTTTTTTAAAACTTACAATTCTTTACAAAGAATGAATTTTTTTTTAAAGCACAATTTATTTCTCATATGGACATTGATTATATGCATTAAATTTTAACATAATCCATACTTACGA